TGGCAGCTCTAGACTTTGTGAGGCCTTAGGTGAAACTCAAACATGACCCCTCCACTAACACCCATAGTGAAAAAATAAATAGGGGTTCATTGTGTGTATAAGGAGCTGTAGTTACATTGAAGGAGCTAGTCTCTGTATTCATCGTTCAGAGGCTTGCAGTGTCGCTTCTTCCTGTGCCGCTGCGTTGTAAGCTCTCTAACTGTAGTTATGGCATAATTTGCAAACTAAATTATTTAGCAATAAATGTATACTATTTGCAATTATGCTAATAATGCTAATCGTTTATACACAATTGCACGATTTGGTTGCATAGCCTGGCAGTTGTGTATATTTAAGTGCAGGTGTGAAGGGATTATTGGAAACAAAAGTGATAATTTTGATGGGCCTAGGGTCCTCTACCAGAGGCTTGGAGTTTGAGGGTTCTGCGCAGTATCTTAGCTGTTCCAAGAACTGCACTCTTCTGGACACAGATCTCAGATGTCCCACCTGGGAGTCACAGCCCCGAGTGCTCCTATCACAACTGGGACTACTACTGCCTTCACTTTCCACATCCTTTCTAGTTTTTCTTTCAGTCCTTGGTATTTGTCCACCTTCTCATGTTCCTGCTTCCTGATGTTATAGTCACTGGGTATTGCCACATCCACCATGAATGCAGTCTTCCGTTCCTTGTCTACCACCACAATATCTGGTTGGTTGGCCAGCACTTGCTTGTCTGTCTGGATCTTGAAGTCCTACGGGATCTTAGCCCTATATATATATATATATAAACAAAATAGGTATCTTGGCACTCACCCTTTCTCCAAATGAAGTTAATTTATGCCTGGGTGCAATCCCACATTGTAGATATATAGAAAAATAAAGCAAGAGATGCACTCTCAGGGCTTTTTAGGTGAATATAAAAGGATTTATTTCAATAAGTGATACATCAAAAAAATTACTGACGTTTCGGAAGACCCAAACGGGTCGAAAAACATTGGTCATTTTTTTTGATGTATCACTTATTGAAATAAATCCTTTTATATTCACCTAAAAAGCCCTGAGAGTGCATCTCTTGCTTTATATATATATATATATTATCCTATATGTTCTTTATATGTGTTTCTCCATATTTTGTATATGTATGTTTATTATATATATTATAAAAGATGCCACTTTACTTTTGCATTGCCTGCACCATACCACCATCACATTGCAGCCAGTCATGTATCTTACATGAGGCAAACAAGGCATTTGCCTTGGGCGGCACTTTGCAGGGGGGCGGCAAAAAAAGCCGCCCCAAACACCCAGGCAGATCCCTTGTTTGCCTCATGTCCTGGGGGGGCTCAAGAGCTGGGCACTTTTGATCCTCCCCACCCCCCGCCCCTCGAGGCGGGTGGCAGGCAGTGAGGGAGCATGCTCACTTGAGTTCTTCCTGCTCAGCTCCTTCGCGCGCCACTTAATGAAAACGGGAGCCGGAATATGACATCTATCAGTGTGTCAAATCAGTGAGTGTGTGTGTATGTCATTGTTTGTCAGTGTATATAAAAGTGTGTGTCTGTCAATGAGTGTATGCGTCTATCAGTGAGTGTGTGCGTCTGTCGGTGAGTGTGTGTCTGTCAGTGAGTGAGCGTCTGTCAGTCAAAGTGCGGCCTTGACAGGAACGGGTGGAGAAAATTTAAATTAAGGGGGGTGCCCGAGCACCATCCTACCTAGGGCAGGACAAATCCAAAATACACCATTGATTGCAGCCAGAGATGCACACACTAACACATGCATACATAAACACACTGTTACATGGACCTCATTTGAGATTTTCTTTGTGACTTGCCATGGTTTCCTTTGTGGTTATCTGAGAGAGAATTATATAGAATTTTGTGTATTTTGACCTTTGGCTTGTTATTTCCCTATTCTGATTTCCGGATGCCTTGACATTTGGCTTGTTATTTGACCATTCTTATTTCTGTATTCCTTGACCTTTGGCTTGCCTACCATTTACATACAGTCTCCTTTCCTGATCACGTCTTGTCATGTGTTCCTCTTTTGTAACTTTAAATATTTTCCTTGTTAATTAAGTTCTGTTTTTACTGTGTCCTGACAGTGACAGTGTGAGAGGCAGTGTTTGGAGGGTTATGGTGTTGTGGGGCAGTGTGTAGGAGGGTGTCATTGTGAGGGTGGCAGTATGTGGGAGGGTGATGGTGTTGGGTAAGGCCAGACTGGGAAAAAAATTAGGTCCGGGAATTTTTCAATTAGAGCGGTCCCCATCACTAATGACAACACGCCCCCTCTCAAAGTGAGCATGTTGGTTCAATGCGCAGAGCCCCGCTGAAGAGCTCTGGCATTAGAAAAAGGCCCTGAATTTGTTCTGCGCAGCGCAAGCAAATGTAATAACATACTTGTGCTCTGTTTGCTTTTAAATTGTCTTTGGTGTCTCCACAAGTGGGATACCAGAGGACAAAAGGGCCAAGAAAGTGTATGGTGCATGTGTTTGGAGCCTGCTTGTGGGATTGCGTGTGTGTAGAGTGCGGTGTGGTATTGTGTAAATAGGTCAATTTCATTTGTGTTTGTGGTATAATATGTATGGCTAGGGACTGTAGAGAGTGTGTGTATAGGGGCATAGTGTTATAGGGGATGTAGCGAGTGTGTGCTTACGGGCTGTAGTGTGTGTGTATAGGTGACGTAGTGTGTGTAGGGGTTGTAGAGAGGGTGTGTTTAGAGAATGTTGGATGTGTTTGCTTAAAAGGAATGTAGTGTGTGTGTAGGTGGTGCAGTGTGTGTGTAGGAGATCTAGTGTGTAAAGGACCCAGAGTGTGTATAGAAGATTGTGTGTGTGTGTGTGTGTGTGTGTGTAGAGGATTAAGAGTGCATATAGGGTAAGGGATCTAGCGTGTATCTGGAGTGTAATGTGTGTAGTGGTGCAGTGTGTATATATATATTTGGACATATTGTATGTGTGAGGTGCGCAGTGTGTGTGTGTGTGTAAGAGGGGTGCTGTGTGTAAAGGTGTTTTTATCTGCCGTCACATTCTAGGTTTCTAATTTTCTTTGTCTGTTAACTCACTGAGGGTTATTTTATATATGTATATATGTGTGTGTGCTGTATATGTGTGGGAGTTAGCTGTTTGAGCGAGGGTGCTGTCTGTCTGAGGGAGCTGTGTCTGTCTGAGGGTGTTGTGTGCGTCTGAGGGTGTTTGTGTGCATCTGAGGGTCCTGTGTGAGAGTGAGGGTGCTGTGTGTCTGAGGGTGATGTGTGTGTCTGAGGGTGCTTTGTGTGTCTGAGGGTGCTATGTGTGTCTGGGGTGCTGTGTGTGTTTGGGTGCTGTGTGTGTCTGGGGGTGTGGTGTGTGTCTGGGGGTGTTGTTTGTGTCTGGGTGATGTGTGTGTCTGAGGGTGCTTTGTGTGTCTGAGGGTGCTGTGTGTTTCTGAGGGTGCTGTGTGTGTCTGGGGGTGCTGTGTGTGTCTGGGTGCTGTGTGTGTCGGGGTGCTGTGTGTGTCTGGGGGTGCTGTGTGTGTCTCGGGGTGCTGTCTGTGTCTGGGGGTGCTGTGTGTGTCTGGGTGCTGTGTGTGTCTGGGAGTGCTGTGTGTGTCTGGGTGTTCACTCTCGCGAGATCTGAGTGTTGCCGTGGTAACCGTGGCAACGCTCAGACCTTGTGAAAGGAACCCGGCGGAGCTGCTGGCTAGAGCTCCACCGGGTCCTCTCCTGCCTCCCTCACTCTCCAGCCAGCAGCCGCATATCAGTGCCTCTGGGCTGGTGAGGGAAATCTTTGATCTCCCCACCGGCCCATGAAGGCACACAGCAGGGCCGGCGCTCGGATTGCGCTGGCCCTGCAGGGGACGCCCGGGGAGATCCTGTGATCTCCCCTGCCAGCCTCGGCCCACGGCCATAGCGGCCCACCGAGCATTTGCCCGGTATGCCCGATGGCCAGTCCGGAACTGGTGTTGGGGGAGCAGTGTGTGTGAGGGTTACAGTGTGGGGAAGCAGTGTTTGAAGGTGTGACTGTGTTGGCGGGTGCATTGTGTGGAAGGGTGACAGTGTGTGTGGGCAGTGTGTGGAGGGGTGACAGTGTAGGGGTGCACTGTGTGGAGTGTGACAATTTCAGTGGGGTTATATTTTTACAGGTCTGACAGTGTTGGGGAGCAGTGAGTGGATGGTAACAATGTGTGTGTGCGGAGGTTGACACTGTTGGGGAGCAGTGTGTGGGGAGGCTGTGGTTTAGTGACCAGCCTCCCCACATTGAAATACCTTTTCATTTATTTCCTGGTGGTCTAGCTCTCCTGTCAGAGCCGCAGATCATGTGATAGGTGTCTCTCGAATGTCAGAGCATTGCTATGGTAGGTGGGCACACCATAAAGAGGACACTAATGCTTTTAATGCCTGACATCTCTGAAGAAGTCCCAAGAGGCACAGAATGCTTTAGTGTCCTATTTGGAGTGACCTCCTATTTCGAGTGACCTCCTTTGTATTTTGAATTAAATCTTATTTGAATTACGCCGCCTGGCTCCAGAACTGAACTTCATTGTGTTAGCAGCAATCGTTAACTCTTTAATATACGTTAAAAAAAACAAAAAAAACAGCACCAGTAAAAAATAGGCAAACGCCCAATGTAATTATGGATAGAATCCCTTTCCCTTTTTATTTTATTCCCTCTACCTGTTTTTTATTTTATTTTTATTGTATTTATTTTTCCCTCTACAGTTTTTTATTTTATTTTTATTGTATTTATTTTTCCTCTACCTGTTTTTTATTTTATTTTTATTGTATTTATTTTTCCTCTACCTGTTTTTTATTTTATTTTTATTGTATTTATTTTTCCTCTACCTGTGTTTTATTTAATTTTTATTGTATTTCCTTACTATGATGTTATACTGTGTTGATGTGATGTTTACACACTGTATCCATCCAGCTGGGCAGAGTTTGACCCTATTATTTCCCAATGGAATCATCTTGTTACAATGTATCGAGTGCTGACATTCCAAAATAGAACGCTGTCATAACACACGCTCAGAGCTGTCACTTCCGGTTCCCCCCTTCCGGGCTGTGCCTGTCTGCTGGAGAGAAGATGGCGGCGGCCGGTGAAGCTGTGCGGCTGGAGAGAGGTGAGCTGGCGAGCTGTGCAGCCCTGGGGGGTCAGCCAGGAGACCCTGTGATAATAGCAATGCGCTGATTAACAAGCATCCCCCCTCCTCAGCTCACAGACCTTCTCACAGCCTCCCTCCAAGTCATAAGCCAGAGCTTCATTTATTACTCTGTGACCCAGCAGGCGCTGAGCATCATGGGACATGTAGTCCCCTGCCTCTGCAGTGCCAAAGCTGCCCAGTCCCTGGTCCAGGTGTCATTAATTAACCTTAATTTCCTGCCTGGATAATCCAGTGCCAGTGAGGGTTATATTGTTACAGGTCTGCAGTAATGTGTTAAAGCCAGTGCCAGTGAGGGTTATAGCGTTACAGGTCTGCAGTAATGTGTTAAAGCCAGTGCCAGTGAGGGTTATATTGTTACAGGTCTGCAGTAATGTGTTAAAGCCAGTGCCAGTGAGGGTTATAGTGTTACAGGTCTGCAGTAATGTGTTAAAGTCAGTGCCAGGGAGGGTTATATTGTTACAGGTCTGCAGTAATGTGTTAAAGCCAGTGCCAGGGAGGGTTATATTGTTACAGGTCTGCAGTAATGTGTTAAAGTCAGTGCCAGGGAGGGTTATATTGTTACAGGTCTGCAGTAATGTGTTAAGCCAGTGAGGGTTATATTGTTACAGGTCTGCAGTAATGTGTTAAAGCCAGTGAGGGTTATATTGTTACAGGTCTGCAGTAATGTGTTAAAGCCAGTGAGGGTTATAGTGTTACAGGTCTGCAGTAATGTGTTAAGCCAGTGAGGGTTATAGTGTTACAGGTCTGCAGTAATGTGTTAAAGCCAGTGCCAGTGAGGGTTATAGCGTTACAGGTCTGCAGTAATGTGTTAAAGCCAGTGCCAGTGAGGGTTATATTGTTACAGGTCTGCAGTAATGTGTTAAAGCCAGTGCCAGTGAGGGTTATAGTGTTACAGGTCTGCAGTAATGTGTTAAAGTCAGTGCCAGGGAGGGTTATATTGTTACAGGTCTGCAGTAATGTGTTAAAGCCAGTGCCAGGGAGGGTTATATTGTTACAGGTCTGCAGTAATGTGTTAAAGTCAGTGCCAGGGAGGGTTATATTGTTACAGGTCTGCAGTAATGTGTTAAGCCAGTGAGGGTTATATTGTTACAGGTCTGCAGTAATGTGTTAAAGCCAGTGAGGGTTATATTGTTACAGGTCTGCAGTAATGTGTTAAAGCCAGTGAGGGTTATAGTGTTACAGGTCTGCAGTAATGTGTTAAGCCAGTGAGGGTTATAGTGTTACAGGTCTGCAGTAATGTGTTAAAGCCAGTGCCAGGGAGGGCTATATTGTTGCAGGTCTGCAGTAATGTGTTAAAGCCAGTGCCAGTGAGGGTTATATTGTTACAGGTCTGCAGTAATGTGTTAAAGCCAGTGCCAGGGAGGGTTATATTGTTACAGGTCTGCAGTAATGTGTTAAGCCAGTGCCAGTGAGGGTTATATTGTTACAGGTCTGCAGTAATGTGTTAAGCCAGTGCCAGGGAGGGTTATATTGTTACAGGTCTGCAGTAATGTGTTTAAGCCAGTGCCAGTGAGGGCTATATTGTTGCAGGTCTGCAGTAATGTGTTAAAGCCAGTGCCAGTGAGGGTTATATTGTTACAGGTCTGCAGTAATGTGTTAAAGCCAGTGCCAGGGAGGGTTATATTGTTACAGGTCTGCAGTAATGTGTTAAAGCCAGTGCCAGGGAGGGTTATATTGTTACAGGTCTGCAGTAATGTGTTAAGCCAGTGAGGGTTATATTGTTACAGGTCTGCAGTAATGTGTTAAGCCAGTGAGGGTTATAGTGTTACAGGTCTGCAGTAATGTGTTAAAGCCAGTGCCAGGGAGGGTTATATTGTTGCTGATCGGCAGTAATGTGTGTGTTTATTTCTAACAGTGTCTGTAACTGTATCTGTGTCTTTTTGTTACCGTTTTGGAAACCCATGTTGGTCTTTTAATTTATTATTTGTGTTACTGGAGCAGTTGGAGTTGCCGTCTGAGAGCATTTCCTAATCACGGGGTTGGCAATGTATTAGCCTGTGCTAATCCTTGTAGTGGACACACTGGTGGAGATTTTCAAAGTCTTCTGAAATGTGTGTTTATTTTAATCTGTATTTGTTAAATGTTTCTAAGACTTGTCCAAAAATTGTCAGCTTATTTGTTTTCTATCTATCTAAAAACATTGCCCTGGTGTCCTTAATATAAGTAGTGAAACCTCAAGGTTTATCTAAATGCAGAGCATTGCAGCTGTCATTGACAAGGTGAACAGTGGACTCAGGTTAATTGTCAAACTATTAGCAAACAGTTTGCTAACAGTGGGAGGAGGGCTCTGTAGTGGTTATGGTACTTGGAGTGCTTGTTTGAATAGAGAAGTGAAACAGAACACTTTTTTTTTTGGTAGAAAAGTTGATGTAAACATTGATACATCTTTAGCATTGCTTAAAAATGGCATAAATCCAAAAATTACGATTAGGCCCAAAAGAAGCAATAGACAAAATAAATAAATGTGTCTCATAAATTGGTTAAAATATGCAGACAAACTGTGCACAATAGTCTGACACTTTGATAAATCTCCTCCATAATAGCTCACAATGTATTTTTTTATTTATTTTTTTAGTATAGGCTTAGGGTCACTGCGTCTGTTTCCGGTATTTATTTTTCAATACTTATCTAGTTCTAAGACAGACAGTGTTGCTGTCAGTTTTCCTTTAAAGATAACCGTGCTGTTGCATTTCCAGTCCTTGCTGTGGGGCTGAGTTGTAACAGAGTCTTCCTGGGAGAATTTCAAATTTAGAGTTAAAATACCCAAACAGAAAACATTCCACTAATCCGCTATGGCTCCAGTTCAGCTACTTTGATCGTAAAAGGGTAACTTACTCCAACCAAAAAGACAGCGTTGTTATAATAAAACACTGTTTTTGGTTAGAGTAACCCTTGGTGTCATAGAGACAATAGAAGATAAATATGCACAGAGTAAGCCTTGTTAAACCCAAAACACTTGTTCCATCTCACCAATGATGCTGCCGCACGTAAAGTTACACACACCGCTTGCAGCACTGGGCTTTTACTCTGATTGTACTTACAGACTCTAAGCACCATAACCACTTTTAAATCAGTCAAGTTTCAGTAACCATATACACTTGGAAATTCACTTTGAACTCCCAACAATTCTCAATTTAGTGAGTAACGCTGTTTGTGTCCCTGCCTCCACCACACTCTCTGGTGGTAGTATGGAGTAAGGAAGCTTTGCTTACAGCAGTTCCTGCACTGTTAGGGGGCCTCTATTTATAGGCCCTCTGCAGAAATACATAGGGACAAATACATTGTGACAAAGTAACTTGTTTCTCCACAGAAACAGAAATATGCAGCAGAACAAAGTTAGAGGTCCGTTAAAGCCATGCAAGGTTGGATGGTGGGATATGGATAATTTGGAAGTGCAATCTGCAAAGTCCCTCAGTAACCCCAGGTTTTGTCAGAACACTCAAGCAGTTTGACAGAAGACTGAGGAATTGCCCCCAAATACTCTCTGCACAACAACTAATACCACAAGCTATGATACTTTGAGTTCTCCTTTCAATGTACTAGCAGAAAGTATCTCTAGACAATAAGTCTTAATTGCAGGATTCTATATTATAGCGGTGATGTATGAGACATGCAGCCAAACGTCGCTCGTTTGTGCATCACATATGGTTAGTTGTTAAACGTTTTTTTGTTTTTTTTTCTATACAAGAAGTATGAAATTGTTGTTACATGGAATTCTTATTTCATTTGTTTCTTTTGCTACTATTTATTTTGTTTGTACTTTGCTTTAGAGGTTTAACACATGGTTCAAAAATTCCACTGGTGCACTCCTGTTTGGCTTGTAAAAATTGAGGCTGTGCGTGTTATATTTGCAGTGTATTAATTTTATTTTTCTTACTGGGCTTCTAGCAGTGCGAGCAGTAATTAACTTGTTGAGCAAGAGCAGTGTCTTTTCTATATGTGCTTCTCTGTGTAGTCCCACAGATGGATTGTTGCTGGACTTGTCAATCAGTATAAAATTCAGAGTCTCAGCTCCAATGCACTTTCCTCCTCCTTGTAAATAGTATAAATTGACATAGCCCCTCAGTTAGGACAGGCAGGGAATAATGAGTTTTCAGAATCCCCCCTTTTTCTATGTGGCTCTGGGTCCCAGGACACCAGAAGAGGTGAGAGGGGCACGTCAGTGAGCTCCTGTCCAATGACTGATTCTACAGAAGCTATTGTGTCAATTTTGTCCCACAAGAGTCCAGGTGATTTTTCCAAGAATTCTTACTAAATAGAAAATATTATGTTTGTGTGTATATATACACTATTTGTGGTCAGGGCAATATTGCCATGATGGTAACGTAACCCATGATTCGTATACAACAGAAACATAGATAATAGCACCAGTCGGTTGTGGTGTGCCGGAACCGACAATGTAGTAGGCCTGTAATAAGGAGGGCCCACCTTAGATAGTGATGTGAAGGGAGTGGTGGAAGGGTTAACTCGCCAGACCAACAATAGTAAAATGTGGGAGGATTGGCAGCCCTTATAAAGGGGACCCAACCTTAAATTTGTGGTCAGGGCAATTGCCATGGGGGTAGCATAACACATGATTCGTATACAATAGAAAAATAGATAACACCAGTCGGTTGTGGTGTGCTGGAACCGACAATGCAGTAGGTCTGTAACAAAGAGGGCAAAAAGAAGTGTACCATCCAAAATTTTATTCATACTGAAAACATCAATTATTTGGACAAATCATGAAATGCCTGTCGTAACTTATTAACTGGGTTTGGTATATATAAGGTGGAAGCAGAAGATTTCCAGCGTCCTATTGTTTTAATTATATAAGCTATGCGATAAGAATTTCCTGAGTAATGACTTGCGTTTATGCCAAGTCTTGTCAATAGTATAGGTACATAAAGCATAAATGTGGTCGTGGTAAGAGTGGAACCGTGTAGTTCTAATAGTGGTTGATGTGAAAGGTGTTGAAATATGTGTCCAAAACCTTAACCGGGCACCATTTATTAGATGTCAACCGTGAGTCCCATTTGACTGGTTTTGGAATGGTGAGGGGAAAGAATATAATGTAGATAAAGGATTATATATACACTACACAAAAACGTATAGCTGGAAGAATTCCCTGGTGTACCTCACAGACACCCGAGAAACAATGTACAATAGTAAGAAAGTGGAAAAACACCCAGAATACATGTAAATTAATATATAAAATATACAACAACCTGATGGAAAATGTAATCCATATGGATTCTGTATAAAAATCAGAGATCCAACATAGCGTAATACAGTAAAAAAACTTAGCAATATATAAATATAGGTGATTGTAGATACACTCACAAACACACGTAGAATATGGCTTCTCGCCTACTCAGGAGCAATATATGATGGTGATACGACTGGAAAATCCTCTCAATGGAACATATGGAAATAAAGGAAATCACAGATAGTGAAGTTTGTTGTTAAAATACAAAATCACAATTTATTGGTCACACTTACATGTGTGTATAGCACAAAGAGCATATCTCTCAGTAACCTTGGAACTCCATGCAGTATGGTCCTCAATCCAAAATAGGAAGTGGCAGGAGGGGTTATCAAAGAGCAGCCAAAATACAGATATATACAGATTAAAAACAATATAAAATAACAATGTGGAAATAAAGTCCATACATAGGGATTTATGTATGGACTTTATTTCCACATTGTTATTAAGAATCCATAAAAAGCAAGATATATGGCTGGGTTTTTTTTAAGCACCATATTGGTTGTATGTTCCAATGGAGCTGTATCTAACAGGTCAGATAATGACTGGAATATTTTGTGGATGGGTAGTCTTTTATGGGGTAGATGTGTCTGATTTTTGGATTCCCTTCAGCAGTGTTTTGATCTGGTATGATAAAAGGAATCCTGTTTTGTTGTGGTGTTGTATTACCATGTGGTGTTAAATGCCCGTTAATACAGATAACCTTAAATTAATGTGGCAAAAGGAAGTAAACCCCAGCATGGTTTCCAAAGCAAAAATGTCCTGTACTTGAAATTCCGCCAAGAACATAGTGAAAACGTGAAAGGCCCTATCATAGGACTTCCTAGAGCTAACTGAAAGTGCCTGGTGGGAAAGGTTAATCCAGGATCATGTCCTGAAAAGGAGCGGTAGGTAGAGTCTGGAGGAAGGCATGAAAGTGAAAACGAGATAAGCTATATTCATGACACCCAGAATGTGAATACAGGTGATGAAAAATTGTCTGGTGGCCGCCACCCAGGTGAGTCTCCTTTTAAACCTCATAATAACCAACAAGGAAGACTGGCCTTTATTTACGATGTGGCCAGGTTGTCGGAATAACATCTGACAGATTGGCCCACCCAGTCTGTTCCCCAAGCGATAGCAGCGGCCACGATTGGGTACAGTTCAAACATAGCAGATGTAGTGGAGAAGCCAGGAAGAGAACTAATTTCTCTAGACCATGTGCCTCACAGCCACTTGTTACCCCAGATGGTAGCGAAACCAGTGTTGGCTGCCGGATCTGTCCAGAGTGTATGAAAATTGTCTGAAATTGGGGGTATAAACATGGTGTGTCCGTTCCAGGAGGTGAGAAAAGTGTGCCACATGCGTATATCGGCCATCGTATGTGTGTCGTCTGAGGGGAGGTTTGGGAATAAAGAAAGTAACCGTGGGATAAAAGATCTACTTTTGGGAATTTCAGTTACAAGAACCTAGTTGTAAGTACAATTCAGTGCTCGCTAGGGTGCGCCCAATTTTATCCTGGGTAAGACTTGCCTGCATGTGAACTGAATCAAGTTGAATCCCCAGAAAATGTATAACTGTGTCCGGACCTTTCGTCTTTTTAGGAGAGACCGGGTATACTCAGGGATTCCAATAGAGTTAACATTTGTTTCAGGCTGGCAGGGGGAAGTGAGTTTATTTCTGTAGTGAGGAAATCTTCCAAATAGTAAATTACAGTCGGACATCTGCAGACATTAATGGCCCAGATGGCATTGTCAATTGTGGAATATTGCAGTGAGAATTCGTCAGAGGGTATGAGGGAATTAAGACTGGGGACTGTGGAGGAATGTGGTTCCAATAAGTCTCTGATTAGTCTGTGTTTATGTGGTAAAAAATAGGGATTGTACTTTGTCGTACCTGTGATAGAATCATAAATGATGATTCTTAGTAGAAATTAGTGGAAGGTAGGATAGTAGTGGATACTTAAGTAAACCCAAACCCTAGGAGTGAGGGGAGAATTTGGTGAATGAAGACCTTGTGAAATGAAAACAGTCTGGTCTGAAATTGACACCTACGAAAATATCAAGCTATTAACGAAAAACCAGGAGGGATTATCTAAATAAGCCAAGTTTATACCAATTTTACCAACCTAAATTGACAGTATAGAGAAGTTTACAGGACAAATTCCTCTGACTAATATTCCTGCAATACACCTGCAGGTTAGAACATCAAAAGGACATGAGATGCCAGCCAAATAGCAGGATCGGTATACCAGAAGTAAAATTGCTATTTATATGAATGGAACAACCACGAGTTAATTATAATCTAACTGTAATATCTAGCTTAACCAGTAGGGCCACCGGTCACGAAGTAACATACAAATGTTCAACCGAAAAATGCTGGAAACAGGCAATCTGGAAGAATCGTGCGAACAGCCTATGCTTAAACAGCTGTTTTGCCCATTTCTACTGCAATACATCACACGGTTCGTATGAATTCATACGAATGAAATAAGCCGAACCGGGGGTGGGAGGGGTCATTAACCGTGTGGTTGAAAGAAAACAAAAAGCCTTTATAACGGGACTAAAGCATATGCGTGCATGTGAAAGTGCCGAAACACATATATATTATGAAATGGTAAGGGGGAGAGAGAGAGAGGAAAAACTTGGGTCTGACTTATGGTAGAAACGAGCAGTTCTGATACCAGTCTTCGAGCAAGCCGGAGGGCAGCGATGCTGTATAGTTTGGCAAGTGGTCAGATATGCAGAATTTAAACAGAACAGGAGCAGGAAATCAGGACACGAGGAAACTGCAGGAGACCGCAAAATGTCGACCCGAAGTAGTCACTCAACTCGCCAGACCAACAATGGTAAAGTGGGGGAGGATTGCCAGCCCTTATAATGGGATCCCAAGACCCTCCCACATCTACAGGCTCAGCCTTAATTATGGACAAAATATTTCAACGCACCTCTTAATTATTGAACTCAGGTGTTAAAATCAGATCCATTGCCACAGGTGTATCAAGCACCAAGCCGAACATTTGTGAAAGAAATGGGTCATTCTGAAGAGCTGCGTGAATTTTAGTGTGGTAATGTAATATAAGGCTACCTTTGCAATAAGTCAGCTCATGAAATTTCATCCCCGCTATATATTTCATAGTCAACTGTATGTGATGTAAGTGGTCACAGAGTGCTGAGACGCACGGTGCGTAAAAGTCACCAAAGCTCTTCTGATGCCATAGTTGTATAGTTCCAAATTTCCACTGGCATTAATAACTGTGCAATAGGAGTTTCATGGAATGGGTTTCCATCGCCGAGCAACTGCATGCAAGTCTCACATCACCAAGTACAATGCCAAGCATCGGATCCAGTGGTGTAAAGCACGCCACCACTGGACTCTGGAGCAATGGAAATGTCTTCTGTGGAGTGACAAAATATGCTTCTCTGTTTGGCAGTCGTATGGGCAATTCTGGTTTTGGTGGATTCCTGGAGAGTGTTAACTTTGGTGGAGAAGGGATGGGGCTGTTTTTCAGGAGTTGAGCTAAGCCCCTTATGTCAAGTGAAGAGAAATCTTAATGCTTCAGCATACCAAGACATTTTGGACAATGCTATGCTTCCAACTTTGTAGATTTGGGAAGGCCCTTTTCTATTTCATCAGGACTGTGCCCCAATGCACTAAGCAAGGTCTGTAAAGACATGGTTGGATGAGTTTGGTGTGGAGGAACATGACATGTCTGCACAGAGCCCTTACCTATCAAACGCCTTTGGGATGAACGTGAACAGAGATTATGAGCCAGTCCTTCTTGTCCAACATCAAATGCTCTACTGGATGAATGGGCAGAAATTCCCACAGAAACATTACGAAATCTTGTGGCAAGCCTTTCCAGAAGAGGGGAAGTGGTTATAGCTGCAATGGTGGACAAACTATATATTTATGTATTTAGAATGCAATGCCAGAGGTTCCTGTTGGTGTAATGGTCAGGTGCCCCAATACATTTTATCCATATAGCGCATGTGTGTATACTTATTGTTAATTTGAAAAATTACTTAATACTTTCAGAATCATAAAATTACCTTATCCCCTAGTGTTTTTAGCGTTTCTCCTTCCTTGTCCTTTTAGTCAAATACATTCCTGGTTATATTATATTTTAGACGTAATATAGCTGTGAAAACACATGAACCATTTCGAATGGTGTGTCCTGTCACCTGAATTAATGAGCCAAATGTTTCCATGTAAGTTTATAAGCATTTATTGCCGTTCTCAGAGGTGCAGTGCTTTGACTGAGAGCCGAATTGTTTGGATCCATTCACCTGTATGAATCCTTCCCCTGGCCATTGGCAATGCATCACACTATCATCTCTCCCCATACGCCTGTACCATATGGCCCAACTATATGCATTAATCATTATGGCCTCTTTGTTTGCCTCTGATCTTGCACAACCTGAAACCTGTCTCCTTCATGGTTCTGAGCTTCTAATAATGAGTTATATCACGTGACGTTCACCAACAGACTCAAAAACATAATAGACAGGTCAACATAAACTCAGACGTGGCCTAGGCTGTCATATTGATGAATGTGTGGAAATTTGAGCTCAATACTGGAGAGATGGGCCAGTGATCTGCATTGCTTTGGTGCACAAGTAGACAGTTTTGTGCAACAAAAGTACTTTTGGTACAAAAAGATGCTTTGTGCATTTACGATTTTTCTTTAAACGAGTGTGGACATCTTAATCCGTGATCTTTTTATTTTTAGAGAGATCCTCTATTAAGCCTAATACTCCTAATTGTAGTTGTTGGATTACAGTGTAAGTCTTGTTTCGTGACCAGATGTACAGTCTAGCTGAATCTTTAGCAATCCTTTGTATTGTACCTTATCTCCTACCAGGATCTATCTTTAATAAGCATGATCATAGCCAGATATGGAAAAAACACAGTTAAAGTGTGTGTGTGTGTATATATGTGTGTGTGTGTGTGTGTGTGTGTGTGTGTATATATATATATATAATATATGTATGTATGTAAAAAAACGATAAAAATTGTATATTGTAATATCTTTGTTATTGGACTAACAGAATTTTTTTCAAGTCTGAAGCATTTCTGAGCAAGAGGACACATAGATTTCAATACAGGGATCTTGCTCAGAAATGCTTCAGACTTGAGAAAGGGAGGTTCTCCCGAAAGCTTGTCATTAAAAAATTCTGTTAGTCCAATAAAAAAGGTATTACAAGATACGAATTTTATGTTTTCGACATCTACATCACTGGACTAATACGGCTACAATCTCTGCTTGAACACTATGGTATGTATGTATGTGTGTGTATGTATTTATGTATGTATGTATATCTCCAAATAAGTTATGGTGGGGAAAAATTGTGATTGAAAACCTCTTCCACCTGAAGTCTGTGGATAATTAATACAATGTTAAACAAAAATCTGCACACCAGTCAAGCCATAAGACTTGCTTTTCCCATCACATCGGATTTCTGTGGGACTGGTGTGCAGATTTTTGTTTAACATCGTATTAATAATATATATATAAATACATACAATACATTTGTATATGTATATACATATATACATATACAAACTGGAATATAATGTTATTTAAATGTGTGTAAGGATTTGGGATAGTAAGCAAGTAACTTTTATGATCCTAGAATTTTTTGGATGCTGCATGTACAGCTATTCTTTCCATTTGCAGAGGTCCCATATGAGGAGAGAATTTCCAGTCGCGGGTACTTTCTAGGCCTGTCTTGGTGTCAAATTTGACATTTTGTACCTTGTGGTTTTCACGCATGATACAAAAGTACATCCCTGTATTTACACACTGGATCTACATGTTTGTAGCGGGGAGTACTTTTGAAACTAGCATGTGAGAGTCCATTATAGAGCTATGTGCTGGTTCAACAAAGCTATCAATGTACTTATCGCACCTGTAGAAAGACCTTTGTTTTTTTTAACTTAATCAACTACTATGGCCTGTAGCATTTCACCAGTTTAGAGTATGAGGCGAGCGTGTGTGTGTTTTTTTTATTTTTTTATTTTTTTTATTATATATATATCTCTTCACTTTATTGTATTATATCCTCTATAAATGCTTGATTCCCACAGTGTAGACTTTGTTACCAGACTTCTATCGGCAGATACAGATCTCACTATTTGTAGTATATTTTTATAGTAAAGCAGATGGCTGTAAATTGAGCAGATAGTAGGTGGGAGCTGTGCAGAGCCATTGCGTGTACACAGTCAGCTAGTGCTGCTGTTGTGTGTGATTATTTTTTTTTTTTTTAACATAGCAGTGCGTTTTTAACCAAGTCAAGTCAGTGTTATATTTGGTAATGCAAACAAGTCTTGCATTCCACCTCTGTCGCCCATTGTAAAACTGGAAAATGTAATTAATTTGTGAACTGATCCAGTAAGCACACTGCGTGTAAAGTCAAAGCGGGATTGTGGCTTCTCTGGTGATTCCCATGGTGGTTAAAAATGATTTTAAAAAGAAAAGGATCCCCCCCCCCCCATTTAAACCAGATGGTTTTTTTTGTTCTCTAAATTGGATTACTTTTAATATAAACCTTTTGGGGGGAGGGGAACCCCTAAATATAGTTGTCTATTTATTTTTCCATATTTTTTATGAAGTTTTTCAGTCAACCGAAAGCGTATAACATACAATCAATTGATACTTATGTGGTAGATTAAGTAGTAGAGAAATAAACATAATATACAATGTCGGCATCCCATCGGGTGTACATAACAGGATTACTGCCTTACCCATCCAAGTATCCCCTGGGTGGACCTTGGCCGTAGATCAGATATAGGAATGTCCGTGTGCCCTGCTGGCTGACTCTGGCTGGGTGGATTTGATTTAAATCATTTGTTTTAGATCAAGAGTTTTAAATGTAAAGACTCATTCTTGAGGGTTATAATCTTTTAATATTTGCAACCAGATGAAATTTCACATTTAGGATAATAACCTGTTAGATTAGTAAAACCGCTAGATCAGAACGGATTTTTTTGTTTAATAGGTTAATAGTTCATATTTGGAGAATTACAATAAAATTATATAGCATATACATACTGGTATTTGCTTTAACGTTAATGTTTATTAACTGAAGTGGTTATACAACGTATCTTTAAAAAAAAAAAACGTACGCTGAATGCATCAGCTGGGGTCCACATGAAAAACGTAACACTGTTTTCTGCAGCTCACTCATCTTCATTCTCTTGTTTGATCATAATCTGGAAAAGCAAAACAAGGTTTCCTGCTTTATCTGGCCCCATCCGATTTCTCAATTTAGAATGAACAAGTCTCAAGGAAGATCTTATGCTTTCCTTGCCAATCGAAGAGGGCCAATGCTGTTAGAAGGGAAGTCCAAGTGCATAAGTGGCTTCCTCCACCCAGTTCACTGGTGTGACTTGCAAACATATATTTCCTGAATGGCTCTCTCTTAGCTCTGAAGTTTATTATAGTTGGTAGTATAGCTGGATAACTATGTCATGGCTAACTCCTCTTCTTCAGCACTTAAGATTTGACCCTGCTGCCTGTTATTGACAATGTTAGTGAGAAAATGAGCAGGAGACAGTGCTTGTCCCATTTCTATTTAAAGCTTGTAATTTAATTCTGTCACTGGCAGCATTATATTAAAATAAATTTGATTGAAATAAAAAAAAAAAAATCAGATTTTAAGAAAAAACTATAAAAGATTTTAATCCACTGTGGTCTCATCCAATTCGCCTTTCCCCAACCTTGCCTCACAGGGATAACGTCACTTTAACATATTAGCCGTCTTCCACCCATCCCATATTGCATGGACTTTATCGCATTTACCCGTCATTCCATACGTCAGTTTTTTGCGAATAAATCTGTTGTAGCTTGACTCGTTGTTGGCCAGACTGTAGATTTCCACCCCTGCACTACACAAGATTTAGCTACACCTAGAATGTGGATCTTTAGATTTAGTTGAGCCCCTTGCACTTTGTATCAGAAAATATTCAGGAGGAAAACCTCCAGCTATTGAGGCAACAGAATTGCTGTATATGTTTTAATTTTAGCCCCTCAGCCCCCTTAAAAGGTAATAAAACTTAGCTTATTTTCAGGTCTGCTGGCACTTGTCCCGCCTCCGATCTGTCTCCTTGGTGACATCAACAGAATTGCTGATATTTAGTCAAACTCATGCTTTCCTCATAGGGAAAACATTGGAGTGGCTAAAATCGGCAAGGATGAGGGCGGGGCCAAACGCTGATTTGGCCACTCCGTATCTCCTCATAGAGATGCATTGAATCGGTGCATCTCTATAAGGAAAATTCAGCGTCTCCTTGCAGCGCGTGTAGACGCTGAACGGAAGGGCTGCTTACAGTGCAGCACTGCCCCAGGAAGCACCTCAAGTGGACATCTGAGGAGTGGCCACTGCAGGTGTCCCTAGGGGGCAATGTAAACACTGCTTTTTCTCTGAAAAGGAAGTGTTTGCATGAAAATGCCTGAAGGGAATGATTATAATCACAAGAATAACTACATTAAGCTGTAGTTGTTCTGGTGACTTAAGTGTCCCTTTTAAGTACCAGCGCATGGATAGTTTGTAGTGCAACTCACAGTGGTTTAACATTTGGAGTCCAAAGTCATATGAACAAATGACTTCCCTCCAGTCTTCTCTAATAAAGCTTTTATTTAACTCTGATTCCCGATTAACCATTGAGAACTTTATAGGCCCTTTTGCCGTTTTAAGACTTATAGCACACATACAGTGATTTACTTGGTACCTTGCAGGCGGCACAAAATTTACCCCATAAAGTAAGGTTGGATGGTTCACACCTGACTACCACCGGTGAGGTCAGTATGTGCTTTACTCTTAAGATATACAAACATTTCTCTTGGTGCCAAGGCAAATTCCCTAGACAGATCTGTAAAAGATTTACCCCATTCTTTGTTCAGGATCTGATGATACCCGCAGCAACTCACCCCAGTAAATTTAAATCTAAGTTGTACAATGCCAGCATTATTTTGTTGCAAATATAATGCGCTGCAAGGTTGCCGTCCTCACCGAAGTAATGTGAATTTCGCTTGTGGAGTAGTCTCCTGAATCAAGGGGAATTTATTTTGTGGGACCCATTACATTTGGTGAAACGAGTATGGCTGTAAGTAGTCATTTTCCAGTCTTAACCACAGTCGGAGGCTACTACCTGTGCCATTATTGTGGCAATATAGATTCATAGTGTTTCTGGTTTCATTTAATAGTCTTACGTGATTTTCAGGAAGCGGTTGTTTACAGGCTTTGGTTACTTTTATGCGTAGGTAGGCCAATCAAGTATGAACCTATGCTTCAGATTTATACTCTAGGTCTGGTGGTTATCTATTGGCAATGCATGGATTTTATAACATACACCAGGGAAAGGTACTACATGTTAGGAGTACTGTTCCAAAACAAGATCTTGAACAAAATTATGGTGTGTATGTTGCCGTATTCTGCTTGTTTTTGCATGTGAGAGGCTGCCTCTGGGGTTGTGCGCATGTATGTGGATTGTCAGTGGTGGTGTGCTGGTGGGGACTGTTTGTTTTATTTGTATGAGGGGAGGCTTATTATACAGCTCTGTGTCTATCTCGCAGTGTGGGTGGCTTCCCTGTAGTCCAGTGGTGAGGTACAGGTCAAGGGCAGGAACTACGATAGCTGCTGCAGAATGCTTTACTCCAGTTGGGTATTCCCGTTCACAAGGGCTGGGATGGAAGTGATCAGAGATCACTTCTTCTATGTGCTGCATCACATAAATTGAGGATTGGGCGTTACAACCAGCAATCACTGCTCAGTTTACATTAGCAGACTATCTGGGACTCCTGATAGGCCACAGCATGTTTGGTTCTGGCAGCCTTGAGTGCTATGCAAAGGCACCTCAAGTGCCATACATGCAACATGGGCCATAGGTTGCTGACCCCTGATCCTTCCATTTGTGCCGGTAACGATAACTGGTCAATGATGTCCTCCTGCGATTTCATATGCATTGTTAGCAACATTTTTAAGCAATGTATAAGTTTTGAGATACATTGCTGTTTATATCGCGCACACACACACTCACTCACAATGTTTATATAGACAAGACAGTATATTCCTGCCCATAGCTTGTCCCAGCACATCACTATAAGCACCTATTTTTGTTGCAGTGTGAATGTATTTTTACTCTCGTTGCTTATACGGAAAACCAATTGAACTCCGGTTTGTTTCTTGCTAAATTCTGAATGTAAATTAAATTATGTGTGTCCAATATTCAACTAGCTTTTTGTTTTATATTGTCTTTAACTTGATTAATTGAAATATAATTCATAGACGTATAATGAATGTTTTTACTATATTTGTAATATATTTTTACTTTATTGTATTACATTTATTGCAGTATTTTATTTTTAATTGATGATTACAGTACCTGATGCATATGAATGTCTTTATATTTGTTTTTGCAATACTTTATATATAATATATTATAGCGCCAGCTAATTCCGCAGCGCTGTACAATGGGTGGACTAACAGACACGTGTTTGTAACCAGACGAGTATGACGCACAGGAACAGAGGGGTTGAGAGCCCTGCGCAATGACCTTACATGCTAGAGGGAGTGGGATTAAGTGACATGTAAGGGTAGGGTAGAAAAGTAGGTTGCTAGGATAGAATTTGTTAAGGGCTTAATGCTTTATGTATATATAATATATAGGGTATATATGTGTGTGTATATGTATGTATGTATGTATATATATATATATATATATATATATATATATATATATATATCTCTGTTGCAGGAGGGGTATCAAGGTGTTCCGCAGGGAAGGCTATTAACATTTAAATTGATATGCTTTCCTGAAGAGGTGATTTTACAATTATTTATTCGCATACTATATGTTTTGCATAACCGTAAAAGTTAAGGAAGTGGGAGGCGACAACTGCTTTGCCTACACACTTTTGTGAGTGAAACTCCTTTACATTATATAGTGTGTGGGAACTTCACTTGCAAAAGTTATACAAATAGCATAGGCCCTCCTTTCCCAAGAAAGCCAGCACATCTGCGTCATTAAGAGGGGCCATGCCAGACGAGCTTCCCAAGCACAGGCTGTCCACAGAGAACGGTTGTCACCCATGAATGTGGGCTAATGACTATGCTGAATTCATTAGGAATGAAATGAATATGACAAACATTTTTTAAAAATCTATGTATTTTCTGCACAGTGCATGGAATTTAACATTCGATTACAGACTCATTTAAAAAAAACAAAAAAAAAACACTCTCTTCTATATCCACCAGCCTTTTTATCCTTTTTTTTCATTTTATTTTATCCTCGTTTGACTGGAGTTCCCTTTTTATCTCAAGGATGAACTCTAATATAATTGTGTTCTTTATTACCACAGATATCTCAAGAGCCATTGAATTGCTGGAGAAACTGCAGAGGAGCGGGGAAGTGCCCCCACATAAACTACATGCTTTGCAAAGAGTCCTTCAGAGCGATTTCTGCAATGCTGTCAGGGAGGTGAGATGCGTGTCTTACTCTGTTTCTATAAAACCTAATAACCAGGGGCTATTTCTATATTGGAAGGTGAAGGCACAATACAGCTAAGGTCACACTAGAAAACAAAAATACATCAATTCCTGCAATAGGCTGCCGTCTAGATCTCATGGGGGCTGTACTGTTGAATAGAGGTTTACATGGTGCAGCACATTGGTTAGCCTTAACAGCCCTGTCATTGGTTTTGTTAATAGTTTGCATAGATCTCCTTTTGTTAATTTAAAGTTTCTACGAAGCGGAGTGTAAGAGAAATATCAATCGTCAATACAACCATGAAATGTCTCCTGCCACTAAAATCACCATAACACGGCTTAAATGCCAAGTTTCAGACTTAAAATAAATGTCAAAATATCTATACACTTCCACTTATTACACTTGCACTTTTTGTTTGAAAATGGGATTGTTGGGTTTTGTTTTTTATTTTTTTTTGTATATTGCAGGCAGGGCTGGCGCTACCTGTTAGGCGGACTAGGCAGCCCGAGCGCTCTGTAGAGAGCCTCAGGCGGCTGCAGCTTTGCCCAGGCTGGTGCGTCCACGAAGGCGCAGCACGAGGAGAGGGGCTGACAGGAGGGAAGCGCTCAGCGCTCCCTAATGTCACTCCCTCACTGTAGCGTGGCCGAGCTCTGTATGGTCCGCGGGTACAGGGAGCATCTGTCTCCTATACCCGGCCGGACTAACACGGAGTGTCCACTTCCTTTTAGTCCGGCCGGGTACAGGAAACAAAAGCTCCCTGTACCCGCGGACCATACAGAGCTCAGCCACGCTACAACAGAGATAGGGGAGGGGGAGAAAGAAATTGAATGGGAAGGGAGGGAGAGGGGGGAGAAGAGTGACATCCATCACACACAAAAACACACAATGCATTACACACAGAGACACACACACAAGCAATACAACTTACACACAATGCATCCCTTACACACACACTGCATCCCGTACATACACAGAAACACACCTTACAGCCCTTACACATACAAACACAGATTCACACAATGCATTCCTTACACACATATCAGGACATCCCCTACACACTCCACCCCCTGTGAATAGCCCCCAAAAATGGAGCTGCTTCCCGTTCTCCCAGAACATTGATTTTTGTGACCACAGTTACAAACCGCCTCCAGAGAGCCTGATCTACACCAGACCAGTGTAGCCAGACTGCAGCCAGAGCCCATCATCATCCTCATCTGGTTGTAAGTAGGCAATCTAGTATATTATTCGTGGCACTATCTCTAATTTACCTCACATTAAATGGACACTATAGTCCCCAGAACCACTGCAGCTTAATGTAGTGGTTCTGGTGTCTATAGCCTGTCCCTGCAGGCCTTTTAATGTAAACACAGCGGCACTGCAGCACTGGTGTTAGTTAACATGGCAAATCATATGGGTGGGGCATAGTGATGTCACATGGAGGGGGGCAGCAAAACTCCTTGCACCGGCCCTGATTGCAGGCTATGTTTCTGATGTTTCATTATTAGCCTTTATGTTCGTATCCTTTCCTTACCCCAGCTGGCTTCATCCTTGTTCTGAGTCTTTTCAAAGTATCCACACAAACCCACTTCGTCAGGGAAGCCTATCTGCTCTGTGTGTTTTGTGTTTTCAAAATGTCATTGATTTATTAAAAAAATAAATTTCTTGCCTTTTCAAGTGGTTTTGTTGTCATGTTTTTTTTGTTTACATCTGTTTGTTTGTTTTTAATTTCTATCTTTGTTTCTTAACAAGGTTTATGAGCATGTTTATGAAACGGTGGATATCAGTAGCAGCCCAGAAGTGCGAGCAAATGCGACTGCCAAGGTAATATTAATCACACTGTCGAATGCACATAAAAAATTAGAGATGTATATTAACAAGGCCATCGCTCTTAAAGGGAGACTCTAAGCACCAGATGGCTATTGCCTCTGGAAAAACCCTTACCATCGCTTTAGCTTGGGCAAGTATTTGTAGTTGAACTTCTCCTTCAAAGATTATGAATTTCGCATTCCCATGGCAACCATTGATTGTAAACTTCCTAAGGCATTGATTTCATTGCTATTCATATTGTTTTGCATCTTGGTCTTTCCACCTGGGAATGTGATTTGAGTTTTATAAACCATACATTGTTCTGTTGCGATACCTTCAAAGTGTCTTTTTAATTGTCCACGGACTAGCTGTATACTGAATGTGTCTGAAGTGAACCTTTGAGAGTTATTTATTAGAACTTCAACACTGCTTGGAACTAATGAGTGCTACAGGTGGCTGTTGCATGTGTCAGAACACTAAAATATGTTGGAATTTAATTAACAGCTGTGTATTGTTAAAAGGCTATTATCCCCCGCAGTGTATATATAAACAGACAGGGGCTTCAAACTGCTGTTTTAGTCTTATAAAAGTAAGCTTTCAGTTCTGAAAACAATGTCGCTTGACTTTTTCTTTTGTTTTTTTTGCTAGTTAAAGGGAGTTTTTCAGATATGAAATAATAAAGTGTTCATTTATTCTTCTAATTGTATCTGTACATTATTCTTTGTGCCAAAAGTTAGATTGATTTTTTTATTTTTATTTTTTTTATTTTTTTTAACATCTTCCTTCACTTTGACCCACAATACTTTGTAATCTGCTTCGAGCTCATTCTGAGAAGCACAGTGGAACCTAACCTTTTTATGTATTTAAAAATTCCATACGTGATCTTAGATTGGTGATTAGTGATGTCCCGACCTGTTCGCCGCGAACTCCCGTCAGCTGACCCATTCCAGCCAATCAGCAGCAGACCCTCCCTCCCAGACCCTGCCACCTCCTGGACAGCTCACTAAGAATGCAGCTTCAAAATGGATGCTGGAATGGGTCAGCTGACAGGAGTTCGCGGCGAACCGTTCGGGACATCACTATTGGTGATCCATTAGATTAGTGATGTTAGATTGGTGATCCATTCGATTAGTGATGTTAGATTGGTGATCCATTCGATTAGTGATGTTAGATTGGTGATCCATTCGATTAGTGATGTTAGATTGGTGATCCATTAGATTAGTGATGTTAGATTGGTGATCCATTAGATTGGTGATCCATTAGATTGGTGATCCATTAGATTGGTGATCCATTAGATTGGTGATCCATTAGATTGGTGATCCATTAGATTAGTGATGTTAGATTGGTGATCCATTAGATTAGTGATCTTAGATTGGTGAACCATTCTTAAAAGCTGTGAAACCCATAATCTGTAACCAAAAAAATCTATAAGAAAACCCCTTCTAACATGTAGTGGTCTACATTATGCTGGGGAACACAGTGCTGCTACAGTAATCAGTTTGTTGTTGGAAGTTTCCAGGGCGCTTACAAATATGTTTTCTTATTGTAATCTTTGGGATCCTAAAGAAATTTAATGGGATCCTTATTTGGGACTTGACCCAGGACTTGTGAATGTGTTTAGACCAAACCCTTGGTCTGTGGCCAGTAGAAGATGTAATATTGAGGGCACATCTTGTTACCAATTAACTGCAGACTGTTTTGGATTGAAACCGTTTACCCATATCTCTTGTCCTGCAAAAATATATACAATAGTGAAAAATTTGAGGTGACACAAAGATTTCTTTAGAATGCTTTGGTTATGCAAATTCTAGTTTTTCATAGCATGAGATACATTTATAAAAATGTATTTATTTAAACAAATGTTTGTTACAGGCCACCGTAGCTGCGTTTGCTGCCAGTGAAGGACATTCCCATCCCAGGGTTGTGGAACTTCCCAAAACTGAAGAAGGTCTTGGATTCAATATAATGGGTGGGAAAGAGCAGAATTCACCCATCTATATTTCTCGTATTATCCCTGGTGGGATAGCAGATCGACACGGAGGACTTAAGCGTGGTGACCAATTGCTCTCTGTTAACGGCGTGGTAAAAGATTTTTAACTGTACATTTTATTTTCAGAAAGTTATTTGACTTTTTTTTTTTTTTTTTTGTGCATATCGGCCATTCCATTTTTGATACCCTGTCTTTGTCTGGAATTATATTTCAGCTTAATATCTTCCAGCAACAGCCCTGTATTAAAAAAACCATAAGCAACTATTGGGAAGTTGATTCTTAACTGCATGTCTGATAATAATTATTTCTGATAATTTGTTACTGTGTTTGTGTTCAGAGTTAACCTGTGTATTGGTGGTAGGTTATCACTAATATATTTTGGTTGTATGACCAATTCTTCAGTATAGACCAGTCCTCAAGGTACCCCCTAACATTCCAGGATTTATGGATTACCCAGTTGTCTGTTTAAAAAATCAAAAAAAAAAAAAAAACTTTAGACACAACAGGGTAATCCCCAAATCCTGGACTGGTAGGGGGTAATTGAGGACTGGGTTGGGAACACCTGGTACAGACTATTTGCCGATGAACTGACAGACAAAAGAAGAGTAGAACAGACCTTCCATAGGTGAACTGTGTGCTCTCCATACAGAACAACCACATTGTATGCTCTCTGGTTGCTATGGTAACTACCTTGCCAATGCTGCTAGAGTTGACTAGGATGAACAGGGAGGTTTGCCCTGCTTGGGAAGAAGTTGAGGTGGGTGTTACAGATGTGTAACACCCACCTTTGTGAGGACATGGTGGCACAATAGCAGATGGTGAGTTGAATCAGGATATATTCCCCTTAAAATATTCATTCTACTGTTTTCTGTCATGCATCAAGACTGAACATTAAATATTTTTTTGGTTCCTACAGAGCGTAGAAGGGGAGCAGCATGAGAAAGCTGTGGAACTTCTGAAAGCAGCTCAGGGTAAAGTAAAGCTGGTGGTACGGTACACTCCTCGAGTCCTGGAAGAGATGGAATCCCGCTTTGAAAAAATGAGGTCGGCGAAACGTAGGCAACAGAACTAGAAGAACAGATTTGTACACCCTAAACACGAACTTTGATGTCCACCCTACAATACATTTGGGTTCACCTGTGAACAAGCAGCACCGTGCTCAATTTAGATCCCCTATTGCGCAACGTCGCCACTTGAACCATTGCATAGACATCATCTCTAGAGTTCGCAGTAGGCACAACAATACCATAGAGGTCTTTCTGATATGAGTGTTAAAACGTTTACAGGGCACTTTTTACATACCCTCATTTTTTAATCTAGAGAGAAATAAACTCAATTTTAATACAGTTATGGAATTCCGCATTTGAAAACTGATTCCTTACATCTTACATGTTGATGAATTTAAGATTCAATTCTGTCTTGTTTCATCTGTACACACAATTTCTTATTCCCTTGATGTGTCTGTTATAGTAATTTATAGATGGTGGGAAAATTCGATTTCAGCTGCTCATAAGACGTTAGTCTGTATTGTTGTGGGGTTTTTTTTTTTATATGCCATTTGGCCTGTCTTGAATGCATTGTAAATCAGATTGAACCAAAAAAGAATCACTTGATTTGAACGTATTTGTAAGTTGAACCAGAGTTTAGTATTCATTGTGCTGATATGTGTGTTGGTTTTTGTTAATCTGCAATTTGTAAACGTGGCCACTGGGTGTCATGATTGTCACATTATTCGCCACATTCTAACCAAGTGAAATCAAATGGCTTGATGTGATATTTACTTTTATGAGAGCTAAATAAATTTCATTTCAGTCCACTAAGGTGCACTGTGGAGCTCCCTAGATTGAGTAATTGGGAATTAAATACAACTCACAAAGGTGAGTAGATTGGGGGAGTGTCAGTGTAACTGAAGTCACTAGCGTAAGACCAGTGTGCAACTCAAATGATTTAGGGATTTTTAATTCTTTATAAAAAATAAAAAAAGAGAACTAAAGACGGTCACAAAACAATCGAGAAATCATTGGATTCCATGACGACCGCAACAACCAACTTTGACTTTAAACTTTTTAAAGGCACAATGTAGGCACTTTAACCACTTCATCTTATTGCAGTTGTCATCGTGTCTACAGTCCAATGGCTCCATTCTTCCTTTCAGTGCAAAACGGTCTTCAACACTAATGGGAGTCCACAGCAGCCTGAACCCTCTGTGCAGTTGTGATAATGAGGACGCATTCGCTTGAAAAGTATTTGGTGTCATTGATTGGCTGAGAGTGGCAGGTGACTGTATTCAGTCTGCCTCAGTCAACCATTTCTGGTACGAATGGGTATGGCTAAGAAAAGAGTGTTATCTCTGCCTTAGCCAGACCTGCAGTGGGGGCTTGGCTGTGGGCGGCCAGGAGCCCTCATTCACTGTTAAACTATTTGAAAATAGTCTTACACTTATTAGAATGACCGCACCAGGGGACTGCAGGCACTATACCAATTCAATGAGATGATATGGTTATAGAGTGACTCTAGGCAATGCCTAGAGCAGGGGTAGGCAACCTTACACACTCAAGATGATGTGGACATAATGCTCTTAGTCATAATGCTGGCAAAGCATTATGGGAGATGTAGTCTGCAAAATCTGGAGCCAAAGTTTGCCTACCACTGACCTTGTGTGTCGCTTTAATCATGTGTAGAATTAATTCATAATAGTTACAGCTGAAAATATATTTATTTTCTTCACATTTTGAAAGTTTTAGTAGGGGTGATATAAAATCTCATTTTGAAGCGGTCTGTGACTTGCCATTTACTCTTGTTGTTCTGTGAACCTGATATCACCAAGGCATTGTTAATCTGAGCTCAAAATTGTAAATATAAACACTGCATCTCATTAACAGTAATAATTTACTTTCTGTTAAATCATTCTACCTAGGTTGGTCTTGTAGATTAAGACCAATCTAGTAGCTCCTTTATGGCAGTTGTTATATAAATGAATTAAGGAAGCGATGGGTCTTGGTGTCTTTATTCTGCAGTATTTAGTGATTTGTGGCTAGTGAAAATATTTTTCAGGCTTCGAACACGACTGTATATTGTTTTCATACCGTCTGTATGATTGATATTAAATGGTACTCAAATAATTATAGGCACTTTTAGGGGTGTTTGAGAGTAATACGCCCAGACAATTGGAGACTAGTGATGTCCCGAACGGTTCGCCGCGAACGGTTCGCCACGGACTCATCATTGAGTAAACTTTGACCCTGTACCTCACAGTCAGCAGACACATTCCAGCCAATCAGCAGCAGACCCTCCCTCCCAGACCCTCCCACCTCCTGGACAGCATTCATCGTGAAGCTGCATTCTTAGTGAGCTGTCCAGGAGGTGGGAGGGTCTGGGAGGGAGGGTCTGCTACTGATTGGCTGGAATGTGTCTGCTGACTGTGAGGTACAGGGTCAAAGTTTACTCAATGATGAGTCCGCGGCGAACCGTTCGGGACATCACTATTAGAGACTGCTAATTGTGATAGCAGTGCAGATAGTGATTATAGCAGCAAGGGTCCAATTTTAAAATGTTAAATTGTCAAAGTAGATGGACACATTGAAAATATACTGGAATTACAAAAATGTGTTATGAGGCATGCTCTTTAAATATATTGAAGCATTCAAATTGCACATTTACCACATTCTTTGCAAAGAAAATACATTTTAAATTGAATACTTGATACTAATCTTATACTTGCATATATTCAACTTGTATTATTTTTCTGAGCCAGCAATTCTACGCATAAATAAACTGCTCAATAACCACCCACTCCATTCGTCTCCAAAAAAAATTAAAATTAAGAATTGTCTATTATATTGCTAATAGTGTAATCTAGGTCAAATTAAAATAAATCTAATCACTTTAGGAAACCTGTTCAGAAGGATGTTTCCACTGTGTGCTTAACATTGTCAAAGCAACAAGACATACATTCTTTATTTGCAGATTCATCGCCCATTTCTTTTGTCATGAAAATGACAACAAATGTCTTATTTAAATTAAATCCTTTTTAAATTCTAGATAAACAAGTGTGAACCGCTGGGTTATAGTGAATTTTTGCTGTAATCCATTATTTTTAGTCTTTAAGAATATGAGCTTTATGGATTACTGGAAAGTTTTTTGTAAACTCTTCAAAAAATATTTTGCATACAGAACACTAATGTACTTGTTTCATATTGTGTACCTGCAGTTTGATACTAGACTCTTAATTATATTTAGAACGTTATTAATATTTCTTAAGTTTCTACTAGTTAAACAGAGAGATCTGCTAACACATTGTCCCTTTGAGATATTTCTAAAAAGCCTTTACATATTTAGTTAGGGCTGATTTTTGACTCTTTAGCATGTAGGTGTTATTCCTATATTTGTTTTCCTTTCTATAATGATTAAATATGATAAATGCTGGCCAGTCAAGTACAGAACGTTTTTTTAACATAGAGGAAACAACGCAATCAGCCTGTATTGGATGCAACGGAACACTGAAACAGATTATGCAATTTTGTTTTTGTAACCACTGCTTTAATTTAGAATGTGGAATGTATCCCATAATCTGTGCAAACCTATTAATGTTCAGAATAACCTTTTAAAGACTGATGCCAAACTGTGCTGTGATAACAATCTGTTCTTTAAAACGGCTCTCTGTCACCTGAAAAAAAAATTGTATGGTGTGTTTCTACATTGGCATTTTTTTCCACAGCACTTTACAATATTATAAAGGGGGAAATTTAACAATAAATGAGACAATTACAAAATGTTACAGGAACAATAAATTGATGAGATCCCTGTTCAAACAAGCTTACAATCTAGATTCTAGATACAGACAGAATAGTAGGGACTGGTTGATCTACTATATTTCTGTCCATTCTTACTTAGTGGTCAGTAAGAAAGGACAGAGTAAGGCAGAGAACATATATCACTGCCAAACACTTGGCTATGGCGCGGCTACCAAGAAGATGCAGTGGGAGCTAAATAATGCTAACAAATGGAGACCAGAAACAAAGCAACGTTAATGCTACGATCGAGGTGGTACTAACGGTTGAAAGAGATAGGGGGGAAGGATAATCCTGTGACAGAGATGCTGTAAAGATCCTATTCCCAACTGGAATGACCCACCCTACTTACTGTAGGACTGTATAGGGCAGCCACAGCTAAATAATAATTCCATTTTGGTATAGGGCACACAGGGACAAGATTGTGATGAGAACCTTGTGTAGCATTTGGTCTTTAAGTAGTTACTTCTGTAGTGCATGATTGTATTTATACCGATGTTAGCAACGAATGTTAATACTTATAGGACGTGTGCCTCTATCTGCAGGTGATCAGATTGCAAGTGATTCTGAAATACAGTTTATGTGGGTGTTTTTTGGTTTGGTTTGTTTTTTCCCCATAATTATTATTGCTTCAAAGCCCAAATCATTAGCGACCAATGTACGCTTGTATTATTTCTATTTAAATGTAGATTGTTCGGAATATGTTTTAGACCCTTGTATAATTAAAATTATTTGAATAAAAATTAATTTTCAAAAATATATATTTCACACTGTGTACGTTATTTATTTCACAAAGATTTTTATTGATCATTTTTATTGGTTCTTGGATCCCCTAAATGGCCAGGTGTAGTTTGAATATATTGGTATTACTATGTCTTATCCTATCATTCAGCATACAATGAGCCACGAGTCCGTACAACAAAACTCTATTGGAAACAAGGAACAATGGTGGTGTTACTAAAATAACCTTAATTTATGCAAAATTTAAAAAAAATTTAAATGCTCAAAGGAACACAAAATGAACGCTTAAACTACAGATCATATGAAACAAATCGCGTGCCACTGTCACTACTAATTTCCAAAAATGCACACAAAATAAGAGCTTCATGCAAACCACCCAAAACACTTACAGCACTTTCAACACATTTTTGTCCTATCCATGCCTTAGCATTTGGACCATTTAACTGGATAATGCATATATATGTTCTATCTGCAGCAGAGGGGCTGAACTGTGTATTGGGTAAGTGTTGTCTGTGGGGTTTTTTTTTTTTTTTCAAAAAATTTAAATGGTTTGACAAAAAACTGGAGCGACTGCACCCAAATACTCCTTAAACTTGATCCATCACAAAACAAGTGGTGCCTATGGTGTCCCTTAAAGCTGAATCTGCAGTGACCGATTTAATTTACATGCTAACATTTTAAGGGGACACTCTGAGGACCAATACAACTTTAATGCTTTTGATACATTTTGGACTTATTAATATGCTGTATTGTTATGCTCGGACCTATATACAGAGTATAGCTTTTGGATAAACGAAAGTAATATCCCCTGGATGTTGGGCAAGAGTAACATCCACAGGACGTAGTTTGGAAGCAGAGAATATCTGAATGTATCTTTCCTTGTTATACACAGTTATTATTTTGCAGAATGCTGCACCATAAGCCTGCCTCCTTAGCCACACACCCTCATGCCAAAAAATACTTCCTTATCAAGTTTAAACACACAGTCTCAGCCCCAAGAACACTGAATAAACTGCTTTTAATTACAACCTGGCTGCAGACAGTCTGAGAAATTGCAAACAGGTAGTGATATCCTTACTATATCCCTCCCTGGATGTCTACTCCTCCTAATGCAGTTACGTAGTAGTTCAGATCATTCGGTGCTGGCAATGGCTGAACTGTGTACATACATTTGATAAGGAAGTCTTTTTCTGGAGTGAGGGCGTGGCTAAAGAGGCCGGATTATAATGCAGTATTCTGCAAAAAATACAGCATATTAATGAGGCCAAAACCTATGCATTAAGATCTCTGCATTGGTACTTGAAGTGTACCGTTAAGTATTATATATAAACTTAATCATAAATGCTAGATTTCAATGCTGAAGGCCATATTTATAAGTATCTCCATAAAAATGGGTTTGTGGGTGTTCCACTAATATAGCACTCATTCCAAGTCACTCCTACTTCCTGCCTTTATTTGAAACAATTAGCCCTGCTTGAATACCTTTTCCAAAGTAGGGGACACCTCCTTTTTGATGCAGACACTCGTCTTCATTGCGGCGTTATACAGTGAGATCTGTAAATCCCTGTATTCTTCTGGCAAAAGAAGTGCTCTTACCAGAAATATAATCACAGCAACTACAGAGCAGGCACTGTAGTTGCAGTGAATAGGTAGCACAACCAGCTGTTTTAACATTTCCTGCTCTATTCTCTGAATACATGCAAGTCTGTCAGACCAGCCTTGTGTCCTGATAATTGACGGGTAAGGAGAGGGGGCGATATTTATTAATTTTTTTCAAAAAAGCGGTACATTTGTTGGCACAATGCATTAATACAATTTGTGGGTGTTCTGATCAGTAAGTCTTAACGATGGCATTCAAAATAATTACATTACCTGCTTCTATGTTATCTATTTGTTTATCTTTACTTTTAGAAACACAGAATGTGACGGCAGATAAGAACCATTCGGCCCATCTAGTCTGACCAATTTTCTAAATACTTTCATTAGTCCGTAGTCTTATCTTATAGTTAGGATAGCCTTATGCCTATCCCACGCATGCTTAAACTCCTTTACTGTGTTAACCTCTACCACTTCAGCTGGAAGGCTATTCCATGCATCCACTACCCTCTCAGTAAAGTAATACTTTCTGAAATACGTCCTCTAATTTAAGACTTTTTTTTCCTCCCTCTGAATCTCAGGTTTCCACGGTTGCACATTTACTAACTGTTCACACCTTCGTCATCTGCTCCACCTGCACTTTGGTCAGAACCTGGACAATTGCCTCCATCCTTAAAGGACCACTATAGTGCCAGGAAAACATACTTGTTTTCCTGGCACTATAGTGCCCTGAGGGTGCTGCGCGCGCATTCAGCCGGTCACATAGGAAAGCATTCATAATGCTTTCCTATGGACGCTGGCGTGCTCTCACTGTGAAAATCACAGTGAGAAGCACGCAAGCGCCTCTAGTGGCTGTCAATGAGACAGCCACTAGAGGAAATAGGGGAAGGCTTAACCCATTCATAAACATAGCAGTTTCTCTGAAACTGCTGTGTTTATAAAAAAAAATGGGTTAACCCTAGCTGGACCAGGCACCCAGACCACTTCATTAAGCTGAAGTGGTCTGGGTGCCTAGAGTGGTCCTTTAATGGATTAAAGACACATTCCAGAATCCTAAAGCACTTCAGCAAGTTTTATATGTGAAGTGTGTCTTTATTTTTTACTTTTACAAATCGTGTCGATTATTATTAAAAAAAAAAATGCACTTTTGTAAATGAACCTTGTTACACCCCAAGGCAGTCAATCACACAACTGGTCCTGTTACTTCCTGGTTTGGTTAGCTCAGTGGAGATAAAACTCAAGAGGCAGCAATTGCCCAGAGCACCTGCCTTGCAAAGACTTTTCATTGAGCTGCATTGGGAAGTCAGTGATTGGATAGCCACAGAAGGTCTGGGTGGAGTTAGAAGGGGAGGGCCTGCAAAATGCCTTTTATTTTTATATATATATATATATATATATATATATATGCACTGCTCAAATAAATAAAGCGAACACTTAAACAACACAATGTAACACCAAGTCAATCACACGTCTGTGAAATCAAACTGTCCACTTAGGAAGCAACACTGAGTGACAATCAATTGCACATGCTGTTGTGCAAATGGGATAGACAACAGGTGGAAATGATAGGCAATTAGCAAGACAACCCCAATAAAGGAGTGGTTCTGCAGGTGGTAAGCACAGACCACTTCTCAGTTCCTATGCTTCCTGGCTGATGTTTTGGTCACTTTTGAATGCTGGCGGTGCTTTCACTCTAGTGGTAGCATGAGACGGAGCCTACAACCCATACAAGTGGCTAAGGTAGTGCAGCTCATCCAGGATGGCACATCAATCTGAGCTGTGGCAAGAAGGTTTGCTGTGTCTGTAAGCATAGTGTCCAGAGCATGGAGGCTCTACCAGAAGACAGGCCAGTACATCAGGAGACGTGAAGGAGGCCGTAGGAGGGCAACAAAACAGCAGCAGGACCGCTACCTCCACCTTTGTGCAAGGAGGATCAGGAGGAGCACTGCCAGAGCCCTGCAAAATGACCTCAAGCAGGCAACACATATGTGAATGTGTCTGCTCAAACGGTCAGAAACAGACTCCATGAGTGCCCGACGTCCACAGGTGGGGGTTGTGCTTATTTTTGTGTGATTTTGTTGTCAGCACATTCAACTATGTAAAGAACAAAGTATTTCAGAAGAATATTAATTCATTCAGATCTAGGATGTGTTATTTTTGTGTTCCCTTTTTTTTGAGCAGTATATATATATATATATATATATATATATATATATATATATACCCCAAATAAAAAAAAATCTATAATGAATGCATGTTTTCATTGACGTCAAATTTACTATAGAATTTTTTGTTGTTGGGGCTGTGGTGTGTCTCTTGAAGTATTTACTCACTTCCCTTACAAAATAGGAGGCCGTAGGAGGGCAACAAAACAGCAGCAGGACCGCTATCTCCACCTTTGTGCAAGGAGGATCAGGAGGAGCACTGCCAGAGCCCTGCAAAATGACCTCAAGCAGGCAACACATATGTGAATGTGTCTGCTCAAACGGTCAGAAACAGACTCCATGAGGGCCCGACGTCCACAGGTGGGGGTTGTGCTTACAGCCCAACACCGTGCAGGACGTTTGGCATTTGTCCGAGAACACCAAGATTGGTAAATTCGTCACTGGTGCCCTGTGCACTTCACAGATGAAAGCAGGTTCACAATGAGCACATGACAGAGTCTGGAGACGCCATGGAGAACGTTCTGCTGCCTGCAACATCCTCCAGCATGACCATTTTGGCAGTGGGTCAGTAATGGTGTGGGGTGGCATTTCTTTGGGGGACCGCACAGCCCTCCATGTGCTTGCCAGAGGTAGCCTGACTGCCATTAGGTACCGAGATGAGATCCTCAGACCCCTTGTGAGACCATATGCTGGTGTGGTTGGCCCTGCGTTCCTCCTAATGCAAGACAATGCTAGACCTCATGTGGCTGGAGTGTGTCAGCAGTTCTTGCAAGACAAAGGCATTGATGCTATGGATTGGCCCGCCCGTTTCCCAGACCTGAATCCAATTGAGCACATCTGGGACATCATGTCTCGCTCCATCCACCGTCACGTTGCACCACAAACTGTCCAGGAGTTGGCAGATGCTTTAGTCCAGGTCTGGGAGGAGATCCCTCAGGAGACCATCCGCCACCTCATCAGGAGCATGCACAGGCAGTGTAGGAAGGTCATACAGGCACGTGGAGGCCACACACACACTACTGAGCCTCATTTTGACTTGTTTTAAGGACATTACATCAAAGTTGGATCAGCCTGTAGTCGGTTGAAAAATTTGATTTCCATTTTTTATTTTTGTGTGATTTTGTTGTCAGGACATTCAACTATGTAAAGAACAAAGTATTTCAGAATAATATTTAATTCATTCGGATCTAGGATGTGTTATTTTTGTGTTCCCTTTATTTTTTTTGAGCAGTGTGTGTGTATATATATATATATATATA